ATCCAACATCTGCAGCATCCAACATCTGCAGCATCCAACATCTGCAGGGTTCTTGTAGGAGCGTTCATGTAAATAATGTCACCGTGATCAATGGAGGAAAGTCACAGATACAAGGTGTTCCTCAGGGTTCAGAGTTAGACAGGATCTGTTTCTGAAAAAGAAGCCCAGTTTAACTTTCAGTTTCTTTACCAAGTTTTCCACATGGAGCTTAAAGACAAACATATTGATTGTTTGTTTGTTTGTTTGTTTGTTTGTTTGTTGACTGAGTGATTGTCTTCAGGTTTGTCACAGATGCCACCGTCTCGCTGTTCGTTGCCATTCTGTTGTTCATTCTTCCCTCCGAGCCGCCCAGATACCTCTGCTTCTGGAGGAGTCCTGACGCAGGTAACACTCAGCTAGAACCTTCGTAGATTTACAACTGAGCTAAAGCTAACTTGTTATCCAATCAGAGAGCCAAGTGTCCCAAGGCCCCGCCCCTCCCCTGCTCACTTGGCAGGTGACTCAGAAGAAGATGCCCTGGAACATCGTCCTCCTCCTGGGGGGAGGATTCGCTCTGGCCAAAGGCAGCGAGGTGAAGCCTCTTTTTTTTTCTTGAAACATTTTTAAGAAAACGTTTGTGAAAACAATTTTACAAACAGTCATTAACGAGTCCCATGTTTTGTGGGGGGGTTATATTTTGTGTGTTTGTGTCAGGAGTCCGGTCTTTCCCTGTGGCTCGGCGCTCAGATGACACCGCTGCACTCCATCCCTCCGTGGGCCATCGCCATCATCCTCTGCCTCCTCATCGCCACCTTCACTGAGTGTACGAGCAACGTTGCCACGGCAACGCTCTTTCTGCCCATCCTCGCCTCCATGGTAACAAACACAACACAGCCATAAATCAGAAACAGCCAACAGCTGCTCATCATCTGCATACAGTCCTAGTAAAAGGGGGCGGAGCCAGATTAAACTCACTTCTTATAAATATTTCATATTAACAAAAATCAACAGCAGGGAGCTTTTATGTTTGAAACCCTGCACAGAAAGTGAGAGCCGTTGTTTTCTTGTGATTCCTGCTGTCCCCTGAGGTAACGTTATCACTTCCCGTGTGTTCTGACCCAGTCTCAGTCCATACGCTTGAATCCACTGTATGTGATGATCCCCTGCACCCTCAGCGCCTCCTTCGCCTTCATGCTTCCTGTGGCCACGCCCCCTAACGCCATTGTGTTCTCCTCTGGTTTCCTGAAAGTGTCCGACATGGTGAGTCTGACTCAGAGAAAAATGACAATGTGGAGCTGTGCACGTAACCTGCTCCTCTGCTGCACGTCGCCCTGCAGGCTAAAACCGGCGTGGTGATGAACGTCATCGGGATCGGCTGCATCACTCTGGCCATCAACAGCTGGGGCCACGCCATGTTTGCTCTGGACTCCTTCCCCTCGTGGGCCAACGCCACTGCCCAGGTGTAGAACCGACAACCATGGTCTGAAGCTCCAGAAGCATCATCCTCAACATAAAGAGCTGTTTAGTTTTTTAAAGGAACATAAATTTGTCAACAGCTGGAGGCTCGGAGTCGTATCATCAACGTTTTAATGACCGTTCTGTGTTTTTGTTATAAGAACAACCAACATCCCATAAACCGGCTTTAAAGACTCTGGAAGTGAAGTAGCTTATGAAACAAAAAGTGAAAATCATTGTGAGTAATCTAAAGTGGAGCGTAACGCTACAATTCAAACAGTTTTCTACCAAACATGATGATGTCATCTCCTTATCAATATATAAAATGTTCGCTCTGATCTTCAGGTGCATGTGCAGCAAAACACTCAACGTCTGAATAAAGTCTGTGAAATGGCATTTCATTGGCTCTGCTCATCAACGGCCTCTAAGCTGTAGGTTTTACTCGTTCCACTGAAAACTGACCGGAAACTGTTTCGCTGTTGAAAAGCACAAAACAACTGGAGCAGTCACGAGGAAACCAGAATAAATCAACGTCACAGCAGCACAGATGTGCAGGGAGAACATCTGGAGTCTTCACAGCTTTACTGAATCAATCAAATATTGATGAATCAGTCAAATATTGATGAATCAGTCAAATATTGATAAAGACGTCAGCTTGAGAAACTTGTACAGATCGACTCTATGCCGACGACACTCTTGTATTTTGTGTTTTCATTCTCTGCAGTCGTTCAGCAACAGACGGGAAAAAGTTTCAATATATTTCAGAAATGATTCTTTTCTATATTTTATTTATGTGTAGTTTCAAAAACTGACTGGATCACAGGCCGGCAGGAAGAGACTTTTCTGATCCACTTCCCTGCTGAACTAAAAAACTTCTCTGGGCAGTGGAACAGTTTCAGTGAAGAGTCTGAACGTCTGCTGTTGTTTGTTTGTTTGTTTGTTTGTTTGTTTGTTTAAACACATTTTGGTCAGATAATTATTGTGTTTGTGAGTTGTGTACATTTGTATGTAACGTCCAGTTCTGTAACATGTCTTATTATTTTTATTTATTTTCAAAAAAATCCTCTGAATAAAAGTGATAAAACCAACAATGTTCGTGTGTTTCCCGTGAACAGATTTAAAAATGTTGAATTAAATCAGTCTCAGCAGCTCTGAAGCTTTTCAAAATGAAAAGTATTTTTGTAGTCGATAGAGGTTGTGGTTGCAGTAAAAGATTCATCGAGTCGTTCAGTTTGTAAAAGACTGTTTATCCGACTGACGCAGCTTCATCTGTCCCTCTCTGCTCCTCTTCATCGCATGTTGTGCTTCAACTCAGCTGCACTTTATTTAAACCTGACAGGCTGCAGCTCTGTCTGATCATCAACCACAAGATGTTAAACAAGCTTTCAACTAAGGCTCGTGGTAACAAATTAAACATTTACTAAATAATGTCTTGTTCAGGTTTAGGACGTGAAAATGTTCATCATAAAACTGTCAATAACTGCTGTGACCGTTTCACTTTCAATGCTGTGTATTCATACAGTATATACTTTGTATATATAAAATGTTTTTATTCTTTCGGCTGCTCCCTTCTTCAGGGGTCACAGCAGCGAACTAACTCTCACGACGACCTGGCAATTATTTTTACACCAGATGTTCTTCCTGATCAACCACGGGCACGGAGCGACCACAGCCTCTGTGTGGAGCAGAGAGCTGCATGTAGGGCGCCCGGGGAGCAGATGCTGGGGGAGTCTCAATGAGACCAACATGTATATATATAAGTTGAATGAATATGTATTCAAGTCAGTTTAGTTCTATAGTGTCAATTTACAACAAATTTGTCTCAGGGCACTTTACAGAAACATTCACATACATAGAAAAAACTGAGAGGCACGTGCGTCCATGGTCTGCACCTGCATCACTGTGTGGCACGGCAGCTGCTGAGAGGACGGCTCTGCAGAGGGTGGTGCAGGCTGCACAGAAGACTGGGGAGCAGGCTTCCCACCACCTCGGACCTCTGCACTTCACGATGCAGGGGGAACGCACTACGCATCAAGAAGGACTCCACTCATCCTGCACACGCTCTGTTCCAGCCCCTCCCCTCAAGCAGGCGGCTGAGGAACATTCAGAGCAAGAACCACCAGGCTCAGAAACAGTTTCTTCCCTGCAGCTGTCACACTGCTGAACTC